CTTCAGAGCTGCTTTAATCATTTGTGGCACAGATTCAACAAGTCACTGGAAAAATCAGATATTTTCCTCCTTGTTGACACGACAGCGTCACACAGTCGCTGCAGATTTGTCGGCTGCTTCCACGACGGGAATCTGTAATCTAGATGGACGTCTGGTGACAGCGAACTCATCATCGTGTTGAAGAAACCGATGATGATGATCTGAGCTTTGTGACATCAGAAGATCGTGCAGTGCGGTCGCAAAGGGATGGACGCGGTCAGCAACAATACTCAGGAAGGCTGAGTTTAAACGATACTCACATGGGATTGTAAGTGTCCCCACATCATGGCCACAAACTGCTGATCAGGACCAATCTTCTGTTTTCCAGTTTCTGTGAGCTGCTCAGCTGCTCCTGTGCTCAGAGATGCTCTTCTGCATACTTGGTTGGAACAAATGGTTATTTAAATTATTATTAAATTATTATTATACCTTCCTATCAGCTCAAAGCAGCCTGGCTGCTCTCTTTGACCTGTGTATACTTGACCTTCCTCCCTAAACCTTTGAGATTTTCGTGTTGGAAAATCCCAGATTGACTTCCACTATCACCAAAGTTAACGATTGTTGGTGTTTTCTGTATTCTTTGTGTAAATGTTGGGTCTTTACTTTGTTGTGATTTGTTGCTATACAAATAAAACTCGTTTGAATCGTCAGTTTCTGAAACATTCAGAGGCAAATAAGCGAGTCACGTCCAACACCACTTACATCAGCTTCCCTCTTCATTCTGATGCTCAACTTCACTGAGTTGGTGCCGTGTGATTGGCTGATCAGATATGTGATTGAACAGGTGCACCTAATAATGTGGCTGTGAGTGTATTTAGATTTGATCTGGAGATAAAATGTCCATTTAAATTTCTGCAAAAACAAAGAAACAGGTGGTAGACGGCGGCGGGCAGTAAAACTGTGAGCTTGTTTTTCTATGTTGGTCACGTGATTCACAAGAATTTGTGATTGTGAACTCGAGCCCTCACAAGCTTGATCAGTTTGGCTTCCACTGACTGCTGCAGGTTAGTTTGCAGTGCATTTAATTCAGTCACATTTCAGGATCTCTTAATATTGAGAGGTTTTTTTCCAGCTCTAACTCCGTCCCATCGTTGTGACAGCACATATGAAAGAAAGATTCATTTTGATGTGAAACATGAGCGTTGTGGGTTCCGGGGGATTCCCCGGCAGTCGTGGACGTCTCAGATGTGTCTGGAGATTACGGCGCTTTGGATAACATGAAGCTGTTTAATTAACAAGTTCACACATGAAGGCAGAAAATGAAGCTCCGGTCTCCTTTCAGACAGGTTGTAGAGGTATTCTGGGGTTTTCGTTGTGTATCGATTTGGATGCTGATCAGCAGATGAAGCACAAACCTGAGTTGCATGGCCACAGTTTGGCTTAGCAGCCTCCAGTAGACCAGCTGTGATCAGCTGCTGGGTTTGAGGCTTCGGCTCTATTGTGGCTGCATGTGGGCTTTTATTCTGTTTAAGTATCATCCAGAAGAACTTTCACTTCAGTGACTAGCAGGAGATGAGCTGCGTGTCACTATATCCACTCACAGCCTGACGAGTTGCTTTCTTTGCCCCAAAATAAGATTTGACAAAACCTTTTCCCTCCTTGTGACCTTTGAATATTATTAAATCACGATTTAAATTCAAGCAAAGTTATCACACACTACAGGTTTCTGTTTCCTCCTTTGGAAGCTTCACTGCAAACTGCACAGAGATGGTTTGCATGTATTCATGGAGCTCTGCGCTGTTACTCACTGGCCTTCAGTACAATATGAACCTGAAGCATGAGCAAAGCTCAACAAACTGTTGAACTATTATCTTAAATATTTTGACTTTCTGGGATTTTTTTTTCCCTTTTTCAAGTAATCAACTATTTTATTTTTGGCAATTTGAACCGTTTTGCAGGAGAAGCACTAACATTAATCATTTCACAGTGCTCATTTCCTGCTCTTTCAGTAGAAACTAAAGAAAATGTGAGCTTGGCATGGTTGTGATGATGGCTGATGGGGAGCTTTGCCGTGAGCGCTAAAGCTAAAATGTTTTGCATGTTTTGTGGTCATTTAGTGTTCGTTTGCTCAGTTTCATTTACCTTTGTGTCTGTGACACCAGGAGTGAACCGAGTTCAGTGTGAAAATAAAGATCTGCATTTTAATGAGGTTTCCTCTGCTGGGAAAAAGGGTATAAGGTGATAAGGTAAAAACGTAAAAGGGTTATTTGATCGCAAATCAACACATGAAAAATGAATAAAATTCAAATTTAAAAACCCTCCACCTGATCTCAGATTTTTCTGAATAAATCCCAGGTGGAAAGATCCGGTAGGAAATAAACAAAGTCAGGTCTGTTTTCTAATAAAGTCCTTTAAGGGTTGAAGGTTGAGAACTTTTTAAATGTTCATTTAATGAGGAGCATTTTGAATGATCTCATGAAGAGAACTTCAAATGTTTCAGGGTAAATCTGTGTTACTGCAGCTCTGTGAAATATGGACTCTCAGGTCTGCAGCTCGGGTTAAGAGTGGTGGACGCTTGAAGTCCTGGGAATATTTGGATGTGTGATCTCTGAGAGCAGACTCACAGGACTCAGAGTGTTTCCCCCCCTGGATGGTCACCCGTGGGTTAAACGCTCTTCTGTAAGAAGAACTTATCAAAGAGGTGAATGAAGACGTCTTTGTAACTTTGCATTGGTACGTTTTGAATGCAGTGAAGCACAAAACCTTGGAGTTCTTTTAACTTTTTGGGAGTTACCTTGCAGAGCTTCACCGGAAGAAGCAGAAAAACAAGGATGCGTTTAGAGTGTGGGCGGGGCTGAGAGG